GATCCCAGTACCCTGGGATCATGACCTGAGCCGAAGGCAGACGCTTAACGAATGAACCACCCAGGCCCCCTAGAATGTATAACTTTAAAAGCTCAGATCTTATTTAGTGATTATACAAATGAAAATGTTACCTGAAATTGGCGACTTTCTACAACATTGTGTTTCCTTACAACCTAATCTGATTTTTGCCTTTTCCCAGTTTAAGGCCAGTCCTCCTGCTGTGACTTTCAAACTAACTGGAGAGACAGATGGCATATTTCAGATACAACCAGATGGACTTCTATATCATAACAGAGCCTTGGATAGAGAAACAAGAGCTGTTCACAAACTCCAGGTGACTTGAGAAGAGTCAAAGGAACCTAACTCCGACCTCTCTGAGCATCTTTTAGCTTTGTCCTGGAAGTATCACTCGCACCTTCATCTCTTCCGTAGAATCCTGTTACAGCTCTCTTGACATTAATGGCATGCTTTGCAAATCTCATTTGTCCATTTTTTACCAACTACAAAGGGATACCCCTTTGGGTATGGCAAAGATACCCTCTTCCTCAGGCCTTTTAACCAGAGTAACTCAATTTGAATTGCCAAAGCCCTCAGATGGCATTACTTGTTCAAGTCTGGCCATGCTCAAACACCTGGATCAAAACAAGCCAGTGCTTCTCTGATATTTCAGTGGTATCTGCCTGTGGCTATTGTGTGGGCTTTGGACCCACAGAGAAGGCAGCATCAGTGCGGCGATGGAACTCCTGTGGGCCTTGCAAGAAGCAGAAGTAACCAGTGTTCAGAGGCTCTGACTAAAGAGACCCTTCTCCCTCTTTGTCCTCCTTAGTTTTTTATGGTTCGCATCTGAATACATAGGAATGGTAGAGAGCTAATTGTAGAAAAAAGGGCAAGCAAAACTTCCCATCTAGTAACTTCTATTGGCTTTGCAGGTTGACTACTAAAATGCTCTGTCAGAGCACACGGCACCTCCATAGCCTTAAGGGTCAAAATGTTCTTATTTCACTGACTTATATTTAGAAAAGAAGCATGTCCAGTGTCCAGCATACCTTACTGCTGGGAGAACACAGACATGATTAGCAGAGTTTAACTGATTGGGTCCCTATTTTAGTAGCTCACAGTATGGGGCTTTTATGGGTGTCTTTCTCCCCTACAGTTACCAGGTTATTGGGTCTTTGAGCTCTAATTTCCTTCAACTGACTTTTGGGTGTGTGATATGAAGACCAGACTCATCAAGGTGGTTTCCTTTTCCTTTCTTCATCAGGTCTCAGCCCTGGATGCTCAAGGAGCTATAGTGGAGGGCCCCGTTCCCATCACCATAGAAGTGAAGGACATCAATGACAATCGACCCACATTTCTCCAGAAAAAGTATGAAGGCTCAGTAAGACAGAATTCTCGTCCAGGTAAAAGGCAGGAGTCCGGAGATATTTATGGAAAGGTGAAGAATATCAGGCAGAAGGGGCAGATTTGTGTGGCTAACAGCTGCAGCATCACTCATTAAGCACTTCCTGTCATACTTTAATTTCACAGCAGTCCTCTAGGAGTTATTTTATTGTCCTCATTGCTCTAAGACAGGGCTTCTCAGCTTTGGCACTATTGACATCTTGGGACCGATAATTCTCTTTTTGTCAGGGGCTCTTCCGTGCATTGTAGGGTGTTTAGCAGGATCCCTGACATCTATCTACTCACCAGATGCCAGTAGCAACCCCTCCTCCCAAGCTGTGACAACAAAGATGCCTTCAGACATTGCCAAATGTCACGTGGGGGGCGAAATCACCCCAGTTGAGAACTATGATTCTAGAACGAGCTTTAGAACACCTTAGAGCTCTAGGACACTCAAGAATACTCTGGAGAGGTGAACTCATTCTCCTAAATTCTCTCAGAAATCTTCATGCTCATGGTCACTGTTGGCTCCCAGTTCCTTTTCTTCTCTTACTTGCAACTCCTACTTACAGCTCATCCCTTCACTTTGCTTCTACCCTTCATTTCCATAAAAGCCCCTCATCAAGGCATAGGTGTGTGGCTCTATTGAAGATCTGGGGATATGAGGGAGCATTATGTCATAATATGAATATGAAGAAAATAAATGTGAATATTAGACTTCTGAGTTCTCAGAAAAACTCTTGGCCATTTCTGCCAACTCACTGTCAAATTTCCCTCTATGTTACTTAATCTTCTTTATCTCTCTCTTCAATGCCCACTTCCAATAACTCGGGGAGAATATTCCTTCCACTTTATTATATGGAACATTTCTATCCCTGAGCTTACAACGAAAGACTCACTTATGAATTCTGCTAAATAAGAATCTTCCAAGTCTTACTCTTTCTCTCTTTACTAATAGGCTCTTCTAGATCAGTGGTTCCCAAACTTTTTGGTCTCCTGTGTTTTTTTAAAAATTATTAGTAACTCCAAAGAACTTTTTTTTTAAATATATGGGTTCTATCCAGTGATGTGTGGGTAAATGTTTAATAGCTGTCTCTCTGAGGGGAAAAGCCCTGATGTGTAGCATTTTCCAATTTCTGTGGTATAAATACTGCCACCATGGCTTATTTTAAGCTACCAATGGTGTTAATAATTGGCTCACAAAGTTTCTGGAAATTCAACCATTGGCTCTCATGAGCTGGCTCCAGTACTTCACTGATTATATCTACCAATATTTACTTTATTAGAATTTTAAAAATTTAATTCGTGGTAAGTAATAATCAACATATTTTAGTGAAAAATAACTATTTTCAAAGACAAAAGGAATTATTAAGAGTGGCTTTGTTTTAATCTTTGCGCATCTCTTAGTGACTGGAGTAATTCACTGAAAACAATTGGATTCTTGTCTTTTTCTGCATCCATTCTGTTGCCATATGCTGTTTTGGTTGAAGCATATGAAGCAAAACTGGCCTCACACAGATATGCAGTTGGAAAAGGGAGGAGTATTGTAATAGCATTTTCAGATAACTGTGGATATTCTTTGATACTATACCAGAACTCAACAAGTGGTGGTTTCTTAAAGGCTGATGGCAATGTGAAATCTAAAACTATATCAATGTCTTTTTTTTGATACTCCTTTATGCTAAAATCCATTGAATTATCTTGTGCTTCAGTGGATCTTTTACACATGCATGAGTTTTTTACTCCATCAAACCTAAAAATAATCTCAAAGACACCTACAAATCCTTGGACCATACTTTGAGAAACCCCATGTTAGTGGAAGGAAGTAGAATAAAGATTCATTTCCCCATTAGTATAAATTCCCCCATTCCCCTAAGAATTTTATCTTAGAAGATAAAAGTGGCTATGGTTGGTTTGGATTTCAATTAACATCTTTTTTTTTCCCTCTGGGGATATTTTGTTAAACAGGAAAGCCCTTCATGTATGTCAATGCTACAGACCTGGATGATCCCACCACTCCCAATGGTCAGCTTATTTATGAAATTGTCATTCAGCTTCCCAAGATCAACAACATTATGTACTTTCAGATCAACAACAAAACGGGGGCGATTTCACTTACCCTAGAAGGTAAGTTAAGTGATGCCCTCGTGAGACTGTCTGAGTCAGAAAAAGGGACCTAGATCTGTGTTGCCTTTGGAGATGTTTCTTTTTCTCTCCTACTTCCCATAGGATCTCGGACACTGGATCCCAGTAAGAATCCTAACTACAATCTGGTGGTCTCAGTAAAGGACATGGGAGGCCAGAATGAGAATTCTTTCAGTGACAGCACATCTGTGGATATTATGGTGAAGGAGAATATTTGGAAAGCACCAAAACCTGTGGAGATCGTAGAAAACTCAACTGATCCTCACCCCATCAAAATCACTCAGGTAGTGCCCAAGGAGTGTCTTGAGACTAGTAGATAAATGGCCTCGCTTTGTGGAGGCCCACTCTCATGATCTTCACTGATATATTTATTTGGTACATTTGTTCATAGCATAATTATAAAACAAACTAAGTAGATAAAGTCTCTGGCCCCAAGTCTCTGGAGTTTATTAGTTTATTATCATGGGTAAACGCTGGACTTTACCAGCTTGGATTCAGATACACACACACACACACACACACACACACACACACAAGCTTTAAAAGAGAACTTCGCTCACCCTCAGCTTCCAAGTAGATACCACTAATGTCTGTTTACTGTCAGTAGTATGGGATTTGGCTGCACTGGAGTGAGTTGTATATGGTGCACAAATCATGTTTATATACATGATTTGAATAGGAACTGTAAATATTTTTGAAAGGCTTCTTCTTATTCTTGTGAGAAAGTCTTTATCCAGTAGACTCATCCCATCATAGCCTGAGGGACAGACATTGGACTGGCTAAGAGTAGGAGTCAAGTAGGCAACCTGTACCCTTGGAGACCACCCTCCTGCAACTCCATCTCCTATATGTGCCTCTCCTCTTCATTCACATGTCCCCCTCTTCCCCTCCCCATGGCTGGAGCTCTTACCCTGGGTCCCCTCCTACCTTAGATCCTGGAAATCTGCTCTTGTCTCCACCCAGATCTTTTCTTTTCTGGAATATCAGGAGCTCCTTGACATGAAAGCTGTGGATTAATGAAAGAGCACTGGATTTAGAAGCAGATAACCAAAACCTTGTGCCCGCTCCATTATTTTAATGATCGATCATGAATAAGCTGTTTAACACTTCTGAGCCCCAACTTCTCATCAATAAAATGGGGATAACAACACCTCTCTGGTTGTTGTGGAGATTAACTCAGAGGTAGTATCTGTGAAAGGGGATAAAAGGTATTAATGTTACGAGTCTCAGTTTGTAGTTCCCCTAAGGTTTTTCTGCACAGGTGTTGTTAAGGGGCACTGGAATGGCCCATCCCATCATATCTATTGTCTATCTTAAAAGGATATTTAATTGTTGAAATGTTGAATTAATGAACCTCACCTTCAGGGTGAAAAAAGGAATGAAAGCAAGAGGTAGTTTGCTTTACCAGCTAAGAAAATGTGTCAGGACTCACAGCCATGAGAATTTCAGACTTAGGTCTTTACTAAAGTCTTATTTATTATTTAGGTTATCTCCATAAGGACTTACAAATGCCAAAAAGAACAAACATACTTATTTGCTCTCAAGGTTGTTGAAGTAGAGAAATTCTAGAGTGCTACACGTGATACCCAGGCCTGGGGGAAAGTGCTTTGGGTGTCTTGGAACCCAAGAAGAAGAATTGAGGGGGACAGCTCAAGAGAAAAGAAGTCAGACTGAATTTTTAGCACACAGGAGTGCTCCCTGAGAACCAAGAACACCGTCTTTGGCTTGGACAAGAGGGTGGTGCTTAAATAACTAACAAGGGATGAGGGAGGCTCCTTGATACCCTTCCCGAGCTGGTCTAAGAGAATAGTTCAGTCTGGAAATTTCAGATAGCCATAGGAGCTTGGGCAAGTCACTTAAACATTGTGCCCTAGTTTCCTCATTCATAAAATGGGTATAACAATTGTCTCCACCGCTCTACCTCATTGGGCTCTTTGAGAATTTAATGAGATAATACTTAAAAGTGTTTAGAATTGCATCTGGCATATGGCAAACCCCCAGTAGATGTTATTATTAGTATTAGAATATCAGAGAGGCTGGGCTCTGTCTCTAGCAAGTGGACTGATCTTACTACTGAGTTTATTTATTTTTTGCCAAGTTGTTTACAAACAATACTAGGAGTTGGCAATTATTCTTATCTCTTTAAGACTAAATATTCAGGGGAGGAATGTGTTTTACTTTTGAACTATCTGTCTTACTTAAATCATGGCATGGAGATGAGGTTAGAGTGTCTCCTATTGCTCTTATCATCTTCACTGGGGAGTTATAGAAACTTGTCATACCTCTTGGCTTTGTTCTCAGATAGTACCAGCTGTAAAGTACATTTTGTTCCTTAAATTGATGTTGCACGGATAGGAAGACTCCATGGTCAGACTTCCAAAAGAACAACCCACAGCCTCTTTAGAGGGTTCACAAAAGTTGTTTTAGAGAAGAAAAATACCCCTGTGTGCTTTTTTTGAGCGCTATAACTTGGTTAAAAAAAAGAAGGAAAAAAGACTTATTTTTGGTTGAATATGAAGTAGTTATAGAAAACCACAGACATACAAACTAGATTGTCAGAAATTTCAGATTGAGAATGAGAAAAGTGTTTATTCCTTTCCAGTTCTCTTGGTCTTGATATATCTCTCCTGACAACTCACTGTGGCCCTTACAGGTGCAGTGGAATGAGCCAGGTGCACAATACTTCTTAGTTCACAAGGAGAAGCTGCCAAGATTCCCATTTTCAATTGACCAGGAAGGAGGTATTTATGTGACTCAGCCCTTGGACCGAGAAGAAAAGGATTCGGTGAGTAAATCTGGGAAGAGTTTCACGGGCAACAAAGACAGAGTCCTGTGCCTATGGACAACTCAGGGCAGAATTGATTTTACTTAAAAACAACAACAAAAACCCCAAACTGGTTCTGAACCCCAGTACATGATTGCTTTCAAAGACAAGAGAGCACCCCACAGATCTGACCCATTTCATTTTTTCTTGTTTCCCAGTTCAAAGTAAATTGAAAATAAAGGGGTAAATTAAATAGCTGTTTTCTTTGCCTTTTAATGGGGATGATGGAGGAGTCCTGTCTTAACACTGATCTTCCTGTTGTAGTATGTTTTTTATGCTGTGGCAAAGGATGAGGTTGGACAAGTGCTTTCATTCCCACTGGAAATTCATGTGAAAGTTAAAGACATTAATGATAACCCACCTACATGTCCATCTGCAGTGACCGTATTTGAGGTCCAGGAGAATGAAAATATAGGTAAGAAATGGGAGCTGTTCAAAGCCATGTGATTGTCCTCCATATGTTACCTCCGCAATCCCTTTCTCCTCTCCACCAGGTAAAAGATGGGCAGGTAAGTGTGATTGGGGATCATCTGTGCATGTCTGGCACAGGAGAGAGATTTGAACGCACTTTGGGAATCACACAGATGCAGTATTTCGGCTCAAATAATATCTGGGTAGCGTTCTTAAATTGGAGCTTTTATAACTACTACCACCACTGCTATCACGATTACTCCCACTACTATTACTGTTACTACTACTACTACTATTACTTCTACACCCTTACCACTACCCCTGGCACTGTAACCACTTATGCCCGTATCCTGAATACATATATAAGGTTATCTCATTTGCAAGGTTTCCCCATAGATTCTTATCTGCCTTCTAACAACCTCAGTAACAGATAAAATCTCATGAAATTTGCTAAATAATTTAGATAAATAATTACATCCAATGTCAGATACCTTGCAGTAAGTAAGCACCAAAAATGGAAGTTGACTTTTGACCCTTGATCCTCCCTCTCTAGGAGTCAAATAATAGTTCAGGAAGCTGGTAGATGAAGTTCGAGTCCTACCTCTTTTTGTCCTTGCAAGTCTTCTTGACCTGCTGTGTTGCCTTTTACTGTGTCGAATGGTGGCTTTAGTTTTGTACAGGGGACCTCTACTACGAGGACATTAGGATTTCTGGGAGTTTTATGACTTCCCTGGATTTGGGACAACTCTTGTCTATTACCCTGTGCTGATGAGCCCGTTGATTGAACAGGCTGGTATTTCTTGACATGTGTTTGTCTGTTGTTTTGTGCAAGTTCCAGAGGCTTACAAGGTTAGCAGTCTCTTATGACTGCCACTCTTAGGGCTCTGTTGTCCTTGTGAGCAGATCCTCTCTCCCATGCCTTGTGGAGACTCTCATCATTTTCTTTGATCGCTCTACTCTTCTTGCTACACATTTTTGACACAGTGGGTGCTGTTCTGGCAGCATGATGGGCCCTGCTCCTGTGGCTTGTTTGCTCAATGTGCATGTTTTATTTTGTTTTTGTTTTTTTTTTCTTGCTGTCAGGAGTCCTATATAGGCGGCCTGTTGTCAGTGTGTTTTGTTTAGGGCCTGTCTTTTTCATTTATTCTAATGTTTCTGCAGCAGGAAGGGGTACATGACAGCGTGAAGGATTTTAATTAATTACAAGGAAGAATCTTCTAACAGTGATGTTGTGTAACAATGGAATGAGTGACAATAGCCAAGAAATACTTGTGGCATCACCCTTTTTGAAAACCTCCCAGATTTCTGGTCTGTGATACTGAATGAAGGCAGAAGACCTTTGAAGAACTTTCCAGATGATCCCTCAAGTCTCTTTTATAGGGCCTAACATTTTGGTGTATTCATTATCTATTGCTGCATAACAAACAGCCCCCAGACTTTGCAGCTTCAAACAAACATTTATTATATCACAGTTTCTGTGAGTCAGGAATCAGAGTGCAGCTCTGATGCATACCTTTGATTCAGAGGGAAAGTTTGGTGGGGGGGGGGCGGGCAGGAAGACCTTGAAAAATGGTGAGCAAGATGAAAGGCAGTATTTTTATAATGTAATCTCTGAAGTGGCATCCGTCACTTTCACCATATTCCATTGATTAGAAGTGAGTCACTAGGCTCAGCCCACACTCAGAAGGAGGGGGTTACACCAAGGAATCAATATGGGGGATCACTGGGAACCATTTTAGAAGCTGCCTACCTTTGTGAAGAGGATAGTACTAGTTTTCTGAGACTGGTGAGGAAGTCATTGTTGGTAGAATAAATTGTTCAGGGGCCCAGGGGGCTATTTGCCTCTGTAAAGGTGAGAATTTATTTTGTGACAATGTCTCACAAAGTGTCGAATAGTAGACTTAATGGACCAGGAATTCTTATAAATCAACAGAGATTGAGTCTGTTCTTTATATTTAGCCTAAAAGAGGTACAAAACCATGTCCCTGCCCTTTGGGGGGCTTACTGTCTAGCTCAATAAAATACTAAATTATTCCTTAGTGTGTTGATATTCTCCTCTTTGGTGTCTTTGATTAGCTAGAATCTTGTGGGACTCACGTCCCCAAGTTTTAGCAGTGCCAATATTAATTCTGAAATCCCACTTGTTACCAAATCCTATGTGTTCATACAGGAAGTTTAGCTTTTCGTAAAAGCCCCACCTCCTTAAAGTATTTCTGAGTACCCCAAGAGCTGCTGTAAATACCTCTGATCAGTTTGGGCTGCCACTCGTTCCTGGCCTTTGTTCTTCAGAGACCTGGCCCTCCTTTTCCTTCTGGCGCATCCAAAAAGTTCTCTGCTCCCACCGAAGAGGCATCCTCTTCTGGAATTTCCCTGGTCACTGATGTCAACAGTCCTTATGGTGCCTCTGACAGCTGGAATTTTCCTGTGAGGTGGGAGAAGAACAGTGTCCTCTGTGTTACACTTAACTTGCTGAGAGGAGAGGTCCAAAGCAGGGCTTCTCCGACCCCAGAGGATCACAGGATTCAGTAAGATACTCTTTCATCCCAACACACAGACACTTAAGGGCAGATGCATGCCACAAAGGTGACTTGGTTGTAGTGGATTCAGCAAAAGCAGCTGCTACTCTCTTGGGTAAATATTCGCCTGTGCCCTGTTGGTCATGATGCCCCCTCCGCAGCCCACGGGACACGTCTACATGTGTCTAGCTCCATGACAGACATAACATAGAAACTTCCCTACCTCCCCCCTCAAAAAAAAAAAAAAGA